TGTAGTACATTTATCCTTGCCATGATTTAGCTTTTTTTAAGTAATAGTGATGGAGATAAGGTATGACGTGAAAGTAATTACTTCCATGGAATGAAAAAAAGTGGGTAAGCATTCTAACAGTTCTGTATCCACCTTGAGAGAAGAAAGTGAATAGTGGGAGTGGAATTACTTCGTTAGAGGGAAATTAGATCTCCATGAGAAGGGAAAGGGACCAATGGCCAATGGGGGTTGAATCCACCGACAAGTGGAATACTAGTATAATTTAGGTTCATTTCCTTTACGAGCCATTTTTCTAGGTGTATTCTACTGCACAGTCTTCACTATTTCCATCTCTTGTAGTTATGGGATCATAGTTTTGAAAATCTATAAAGGCTAAAACTTGAGTCATCGGTTTCTCCTTACACCACCTGTGTGGGGCTTACATCTTGAGACATATGTGACATGAGATGTATGAGGTTTATGCATCCAGTAAAACTTGCTTTTCAATATGAGATTTAGGATGCCTTTAGTTGCACTTATAAAGAAAAGCCTAAGAAAACTAAAACACTGGAACTTTAGATGTTTGTTCTCTAAACAATTGGTTTCTTTTCCTCTACTCGCCGTCTTCTGTACAATACTACTCATGCCTTTGGGTCTCTACTTGGCAGGTTTGTTCTCTATGATTCTAGAACAGGATTTGACAAAATCTTTTAGAAGTAGCAACCAACTTTATCCTTTTCTTGACTCATCATCCTTCCGTGCTGAATAGTTGTCTTGAGGATCTAATTTATCGACTATTTATGATATATATAGTTTATTATTCAATTATAGTTGCTATCATGTACAAAGTAATACTCTGTATTTAGTTATTTTTGTTTTGTTTTTGTTCTAATGCATTGGTATTTATCTACTTTAATTGTTAACTAATTACATATTTAGTTATCATGGCTTACATCTTGGTTCACCTAGAGGTTACATCTGATGAGGATAATATAAAACACATTGAAGCATGCTTTATCTTTTCAAACCTTGTATGTGATATTTTTATGCAGAAACTTCCTTCAGATTTCTATTTAGTTGTGTTTGTTGTTAGCAACTTAATATTCTAGTCTTTTGTAATACATTAATTTGATATGAACTGTGCAGGTGTGGGCAAGAGTTGTCTACTCTTGCGTTTCTCAGATGGTTCCTTCACTACAAGTTTTATCACCACCATAGGGTGAGTTTTTCTTTGCAGTTTATCTTCGGTACATGTTTATCATCCAAGGAAGAAATGCTAATATGATGATAACTGCATCTTTCCAATGTAAGGATTGACTTTAAGATACGAACAATTGAGCTGGATGGAAAGCGTATCAAACTTCAAATTTGGGACACTGCTGGTCAAGAACGGTTCAGAACCATCACTACTGGTATCTATAAAAATGGATAACCATGGGAAAGTTAATTTTTTTGATATTACTGTTAATTTTTCTCCATCAGGTAGAATGATCATTATTTCTTATTTCTGATAGAAACATCGATCCTGAAAATAACTTATCATATACATCCCCATTCTAAAATAATTGCAACATCAAGATTTTCACATTTTTAAATACATATAAACCTGTGATTCTTCAATTATGTTTTGGTAAAAATTATAAAACGTTGATACTACGTACTCCGTATTACATAAGATTATATTGCAAGTTTATAGTGAGACGAATCCAATAAGACCCCACATGACTAATTGACTATATTTTTCACTATGAATAAATCACATAATATAATCAAATTTGAGTGAATGAATAATGTAAACCGTCCACTATTGCATTTATTTAAGAACGGAGGAAGTATATTTCTTAATGTTTATGTGCACGCTGATTTCTGTTCAACCGCACCAGAAAAATCAAACAACCCCAGTATGTTAATTATTTTTTGTGTTTTCTTTGTGGTTATGAATCATTTCAGCATACTATCGGGGTGCCATGGGTATTTTGCTGGTTTATGATGTAACAGATGAATCCTCTTTTAACAGTAAGGTTTCTTTGACATAGTTTGTTATGTTGCTTGTCTAGAGCATTTTAGAAAACCATGGCTTGCACTTGTCATTTATGTCATTCTAAATCTTATAATTTTGACCTACGCTCAGATATAAGGAACTGGATCAGAAATATTGAGCAACATGCCTCTGACAATGTAAACAAAATACTTGTGGGAAACAAAGCTGACATGGATGAAAGCAAAAGGGTATATACTCATTTTACATTATTTAATCCTGCTTGGTTTTGTTATTTTTGTCTTCATCATTTGATATCCGCATTCTATATTGAAAAAAGTGCTACGTTATGATGAATAAAAGGTGTAGAAATGTTGCAAAATGGTGTTACATTCCAATGCGATCTCATGATATTTTTTGCATGCTAGGAAAAATATATGATGACAATTCTTATGGAGTTTGATCTCATAATTTCTTTGTTGACAAAAAGGGCATTCAATGTAAAACTGTTACTGGTTTTTACGTGAACCCACAACATTAATTATATTTGGACAACTAATTGACACAACTACCTTTATGTCACCGATGCCAATATAGTTTGGATTAAGGTGCATGATGACAATTAAAGCTCTGAAAAAGAAACTGGGAGAAGGAAAGAATTATTATTATTTTTTAATTTCCTCGAAGAAGAAACCATTTTGCGGCTTACACATCATCAAACTTTGCTGAGTCTAATAATATTTGGAACCCTGTTCAGGCTGTCCCTACCGCTAAAGGCCAAGCACTTGCTGATGAGTATGGGATCAAGTTTTTTGAAACTGTGAGTAGATCCTATCATAAGTACCAATAAGATCATTTGGATTTTTGTTTTGTTTTCTTACTGGGAGGCAATTTTTTCTGCAGAGTGCCAAAACAAATCTTAATGTGGAACAAGTTTTCTTTTCAATTGCGAAGGATATAAAGCAAAGGCTTTCAGACACTGACTCAAAGGCAGAGGTAATTAAGCCAATTCAAGTAGTTGCATCTGTTGTGTTATGCTTTTAGAGCTCTCTTTCCATGTATGATCTAATTTATTTGGCTTAAATATATTCTTGTCCCTGCAATTGTTTTTTTAAACCTTTTCAGCCCCTCTTGGCTGATCTCTGCACAAAAAAAAAGCATAAACATAAATTTTAGGGAAGAAAATAAAAAAAAAGATTTACAGGGACAGAAAACATATTGAACCCAGCCTAAGAACTTGCATTCTTACAATTTTATAAATGATTGAAATATTGCAGCCCACACCAATCAAGCTGGTTCAAGCTGACCAGGGGTCATCGTCTGGTCAACCTGCCCAAAAGTCTGCTTGCTGCGGCTCATAAGGTGGCCTAGTCGAATGAGAAAAAGAGTAGTACTATCGCCCATTTTAACCATGGTTATATACTCCTTGCCATTGGAGCAATGAATGAATGAATCAACGACTGGAAATGGACTAACTTTGATGACAAAAAACACATTGGGAGCTTTGTATTTTTCTTTATTTTAGTTTTTATCGTTTTTTGAAGTCTTGTGTGTGGAAAGATAGATCCTTTTGTTTATTTGAGACCCTCTTTTTTGGGCACACTTCATTTCCCTTCCCTCTCCACATGGCTGTGTCTTACCCACACTTATTAATTAGGGTACAATTTATATTTTGAAACTTCTCATATTATTATAAGTACTTTTGTATTACTACCAAAAAACTATGTCTTCCTTTCTAGTTGGATTATGATTTGGTCCGCCCATTTTTTTCTCCCCCTCTTGTCATCTAAACCAGTAAATATAATGTGTTCTGGTTTTGGTAATTTAAATAAACCAAATCAAGACTGGCGTTTTAGCCGGGTTTGTATTGTCATGTTAAAGCCCATTGGAGATTTTTTTTTTGAAAGGCTGTCATGTACATAAATGCGTGTACTCGTGCTTTCCAATACTTTCTTTTTCTCATTTGTCTACTTTTCCGGTTACATACAATTCACTTAAATTTGCTTGCTCCTCATAAACAAAAGTTCAAAATTGACTAACATGGTTCTTAAAAAAGTTTAAAATTGACTCAATGGATCGAACACGGTTCTTAAGAACTCCCAAATTGAGAGTTCTATCTTTCTTTTCTTCTTCCATGAAGTTATATTCACCTTCTCTTTTGATAAGAGTATTCCTCACCTCTACATCTCATCCCATCTCTTCCCCTTCTATGGCCACCACACCCTCCCCTCCTCCACCATACCCACAAACTCAACAACCACAAAACCCCCAATATTCTCATGAGAGGTCTCCTCATCACCCCCTCCTTACTCGTACCTTGTATTCAACTAAGAGTCTTCATTCCCCACCCCTAGAGAAGAGATTATGCTTTGACGACCAAAAAAGTTCTCAGTTGGGTAAAGGATCCCCCATAGCATAAAATTATCATGAAATCAAATTGCTCGTGCCAAGAAATACCAATGGTCTCACTTCAATGATCTCCTAGTTATTTTTTTATGTTATTAATTCTTGCAAATCCCTAGCTCTCCCAGTAGAGATTGATATTTCATTTGCTTTTATCTTTCGTTCAATGAACACGGCTGTTCATGCTTTAGCTGAGACAACATGTTCTCCTCTGAACACAGGGGCTTTGCTTAGCACCCTGCGATACTTAAATTTGTAATCCCTCATTTCAAAAATGTTTAACGCTTTCATATTCCTAAAAAAAAGAAACTAAAAAGAGAAATAACACGAGCAATACAATTTTTCTTTAAAGAAAATATGAACCTTATTTTGGGACATATGGCGTGAAGAAAATATAAATCTTTTTTTTTTTGGGAGAAAATTAAAAAGGAAGGTTCAAGCATTGGGAAAAAGTGAACTCAGATTAGTACTCAATATGGTTCAAGTCAATGAGAACCAGGGATATCCAAAAATCAGACATCATAGATAAAGGGCCAGGGTGGTCTGTAGCCGTACAACCATCCAAACAAAGTTGGTGGAACAACTGGTGGGCACCCCAAGGCAAAAACATTAAAGGGGCTTTTGTGGCTTCTCCAATTAAGAAACTAGACACTCTTTTTTGGGAGAGATTCAAAAGGAAAGGGCAAATAAACTGAGAAGGGTGTTTGAACTTATTTATGTACATCTTCATATAGGCTTCATCATGTTTATGAAAACCTGTATGATTTAGCAAAACACTTGTATCTTACACATTCAAAAGAACCACAAATTTGAATCTTTTTCTGTAGACAATGAGGAGATCCTACCTTCTTTCAATCACCACACATCCACAGTACCACTCATATATTCAGTTCTTCCTTCCCATAGATCCTCCGAAGCTCTCGAGTAGCAGCTTGATATGATTCTGAAATAAATATCAAGAAATATGGTCATTGAGTTGTTGTGGCAGGCTAATGAATGTAATGCATAAAGTTAAGTCTTTTTCATGGCAGACTAATGTAACCTTTCCATATTTTGAAAGCTTTCTGGTTGATTGGAGAGCCTGTCACGGTCTGAATTGCATCAAACAACTCACTCTCTCTTGTGCTTCTCAGCTCCTGGACAATCTGATAAATGGTCTTGCCATTCTCGAAGTATATGTGACTATTTGGGTGCTTTGTCTTGCAACCGGCGTGCCGCTCAAATTCATAAGCATTAAGTGCCTTTCAAAAGATTGTAATTTGTGAAGATCCTAATGGATATTGAAAAGGACTTAACCTAACAACTGGAAAAAGAAAAGATTTACCTTAGAATAGTTACATGATTGGCAACTGCATAGATATCGAGAACCTTTTATAACCCCATGCAGCTCCTTAATCATATTCATGGAAGGTTTGCAATTAGTAAAAGACTGATGACCGTAATGACGGTGACAGAGTGTACAATGCCTTGAAAATGGTTAGTTACATCTTCCTCCCCCGATGCCTGAGGTTGGGCAAATTACCAAATAACATGTCTGAAAATTACTAATAAGCCCCACAGCATATTTTCAGCAAATGACCATTTTCACACCAAAAGATTATAGAATATAATACATTATATAGGGTAAACTATTTGAACCTTTCTAACAAAAAATGAAGCTTTCTCTACAAAAATAGATTGTAATGCTTTTTTTAGGGTAATTTAGTTTGAAACAACTTGATTCCTACAAATAACTCAATTTTTTGAGGAGGTTCTAAAATATTCTTTGTTAAAAATACTTCCATATAAGTATAGATTCATAACTTTCAGCAAAGTTGGTCAATTAAACATGAGTCAATGTTTTCATCTTTGACAAAAAAATCCAAAGATGTTATTTACCAGCGGGACAAAGGGAACATCATCTTTTGCAGTCATTTGTGATAAAACTGACGAGTTATGGGGCTAATTTGCAATTTCAGAAAATTCAAGGGCCATCTGATGATTTGAGCCAAACTTTAGAGTTTAGAGGTAGATGTAACGAACCCATTAAAACAATTGTACCTCCCCAGAAACAGAGACATATTTTACAGGCACACCATCAAGCATCCCAGTAGACATCAAACTTCTAACATTTGGTGGAAAGCTGTCTGGGGTTTCTTTCTTAGCAGGTTTTGCATATGACTTTGTCTTTAGAATGGGTTTAGTCACTTGAGACGGGTGAATAATTGTTGCATTAAAATCTGATCCATCTAAATCCTTGTTGAGTTCTGTTTTTGATGATTGTGCTGTAGATTGATTGTGAATATATTCACAGCTGCTAATTGGTCTTCCCAGGGCATTAATATCAGCTTCCTCTTGGTATCCGCCAAACAGAAATGCACTATAGTCCCCCTTTTTGAATGATTGACTTCCTGATAGTGAGTTATTAACATCTTCTCCTTGCCTCATTGATGTGTAAGTCTCTTCAGATCCCTCATTATATACCTCTTGAAGATCAATGGGCAAATCAATATTTTGTTCCTTAACCTGATTAACTTTAACTTTTCTGAGCCCATCACAACTAATGCAAGAATCTGGTTCTTCAATGTCGTAAGACATTGACAAACCAACAGATGAATCATTTCCAAACTCTTCACCAATCACACTTTTCCTCAAGTTTCTTTCACCTAAACCTGCAGGTCCCATTGCATCGGATCTGAAAAGCCGGCCTATGAATTGGCTAGGAAGAGACCGAAAAGTGGATAAGTTCTCCCAAGATAGAGAACTTGAATCTGACTTGCTGATTGAAGAAGCTTCAATAGCCTGTTTTTTATAAGAAATTTGTTCTGGTTCGGTAATTTCTAATAACCAATGATGGTGAGTGCGCTTTGTTTCATGTCTTAATGATCCATCAAAGAGTATCTCGCCATCTGCTGGATGCTCAACTCCTTTTGGCATCCAAAAGTCCTTCCCATGGAATGAATTGGAGACAACATATAAAATTTACCCCAGTCAGTATTTTTATCCAATGAAAGTACTCTACTAACAAGAATATAACGGCCTTTCAAAAAAATGCATTTCGAAATTTGAGATTTGGAAAAAACACAGGTTCAGATGACATTTACTACTACCTCCCCTTCATATTTTCTGTGAACCTTTGGTCAGTAAATGCCGCAATGCATCTAGGGTCTAACACAAATAGCCTCTCAGTTTTTACAGGAGTAGAACTGCATACATTTTGACCATACGGTCTGAATGAAATTGGGATTATACTGGGTTTTTGTTGTTCTTACATCTATTATAAAACATTAAGCAATCATATAAGTTTTAAATTTTATTTGCTGGGTTTGTTAATTTTGCATGAATTCTTTTGTCAAATTACACAACAAAAGTTAGCAATGATCAAACCAAACTTTTTTTGAAAAAAAGTGCTTGAAACAAGACTTTTTTTATTTGAAATGGAGGGAGCATATGAATAATGGAAATCAGTTTTTTCTATCAATGAAGTTCAATGACACCTTCTGATTCCCAACTGTAACGATAGATATGCATCAGTAAACCAATTCCATGTAATTTATAATTATTATATATTTACCACCAAGTATTCATGTGAAAACTTAAAGATTATCCCACATTCCTAACACTACTTTTGTCAGGCAGAGAGAAACATAAAAGCATAGAATAAGTAGTAAAAGTATAAAAAGGATTGGTACTATGGCATAGAAAGCAAACTGATTAATCAAATAAAAGGAGGTAATGTATAAATAGTCTGATCAAAATGCCAAAAGATAACCAGATAGATCAACAGCATGTCCAATAAGATAATCAAAGCAAGAAGAGAGAAGAAGATCGAAGTAAAATCATAGCGTTTGTCATAAATCAATAGGAGCTTACCATTTCGAAGCTTCCACTTCAATCGATCAATTCAAAAGCCATAATCAGAGAACTCCTGCTTTCAGAGAACCCTAACCCTAACATTTGAAGAAAAAGAGACCGTTCGATTTTACCAGTTGTAGTAGAGGCGACACGTGAAACTTTCCGATGATATTCCCGGCAATTATAGGCGGTCAACTGCAGCCGTTGTAAGTAGTTGCAGACAGTGACCGATCGGTGAAGAAAAGCACTTATCCTTCTTGACGTCAGGCCTGTCCATCGGTGGGCTCGGATTGGAAGATGTGTGTTGAAAGTTATATACTCCCTCCTTCCATGTATCATCTTCCCATTACGCGTTACGAGACTTGACCGACTTTATTTTCAATTCAATTTAATTGATTATAGGTGTAAAATTTTAAAATAAAATTTATATAGTAATAAACTACATGAAAAGTTCTACAAAACTAGAGGTGACAAGACTATATTATTTTATGAAATGACTAGTAAAATTGAGCAAACAAAGTGAATAAAGTTTGACCCTGTAAATAGTGTCTGGGAAGATCTATGGTGGACAGAGGGAGTATCTCATTTATCTCTCAAAATGATCAAGTTTACCTTTTCAAAAAATGTGCAACTCTAATGGGGTAAATCAAAAGGCAAAAGAAAGAAAAAAATCCATCTTCATATATCATTGGGAAAAAATTAGTTGATTAAATATACAATCTTAAAAAATCATGAGGAGGTAAATTTGAGGTTTGTTGTCTTTGTTTCTTCTTGATTAAATTTTTAAATTTAAAGATTTTATAAAAACACAACTAATTTATTAGGGAAAAAAATTAGAATGTCAGTTTTGAAATAGTTAAATATATATTATGTCTAATTACACATGTAAAAGTAAAACTATAAATACCCGAATAAAAAATATAGAGTGCAAGATAAAAAAACAAAGTATCTTTTTTTTGTTAATTCTTGACTCGTTAATTTTTATAATGACAAAGATACAAATTAATAATTTATAATAATATATTCAAGCAAAAATACAATAACTAAAGTAATTGATAAATAAATTTAAAAGGTGGAAAAAATTGATATACCTCCCCAAATGAAGAAGGTAAAGATAGCTCTTCAAAATTGAAGAAGGTATAATACCTTCTTGTTTACCTCTTCCATTGGAAAATGATTTTTAATAAAAAGAGATATATATCAAAAATATTCCTCTTTACCCTTTCATATACTCTCCCATTGGAGTTGCTCTAAGGAGTCTTTCATACAATCAATCAAACATTCATACCTTTACAAACTTCACTATTCAAAAATCACAAAAAAATTTATTTATTTTTTGGATTTTTATTGATTATTTAAAAAAATAGAATATTTTTGTCGTTTATAAAATTTTTGATATAATTTTTAATATGTAAGCTTTATTATTTTTAGAGAATTTAAAGTTAAAATTGAATTAGTGATAGACAAGATGACAAAGAACAATGATAGGTTGTGGTAGAGAGTGGCGAGGTGGTCTGCAACACCCCGCCGCTCACCCTAGCCATAACTCCCATAAGCATCCGCTTATAGGATTGTAGATTGGCTCAACAAACCATGAGTAGTACTATTAATCCTTTTGAGCATTTTCTTTTCCCAATCTATTTATTTTTCAAATCAGGTTATTACATTCACCCCCTTAGAAATGCAACGTCCTTGTTGCATCTTTTTTTTCAAACCCTTAGATTTTCCACACTAGGTGAACTAAGTTCTCTTGACTCGTCACGGTTGTAGGGTTGCTCTGATACCATTTGTAACACCTCGGCCCCCACCCTAGCCAGAAGCGTCCGCTTATAGGATTGTAGACTGGCCCCACAAACCAACACAAGTCTTTCCCGCGCACTTTGTCCTCACTCGTGCGCGCCCAATGAATTTCTCTGGAGGTCATCCATCCTAAAATTGCTCCAGGTCAAACACGCTAAACTTTGGAGTTTCTAGGTGATAAACTCTAAAAAAGAAGATGCACCTTGTTGGTATGAGTAGTGTTATCAATCTTTTTGAGTTTTTTTCTTTCTCCAATCCATTTATTTTTCAAATCATGGTATTACATGGGCAGCAGTTATATGGAATCTCATATTGATATATCTCAAATTCGGGAGATATGGATACTCTGCGTTTGGAGAATTTGTGATATCTGAATATATTGTAATCAATTTTTTGTCTCTATAAAAACTAAAAAAATATAATGTTGCCAAAATCTTTTACGCTTTATGCAAAATGAAACAAAACTTTAAATTTTTTCAATTCATATTATTTAAAGATTAGTATAGAGTTAAAAACAAGTTGTAAGAATAGGACCTAAAGTGGTGCTCCATTTGGAAAAATGCCCCACCAGAGCTTCTTGCCCTGGCAAAATACTATAACAAATACTCACTCCATTCTAGAGTATTTGTCAATTTTTAATTTTTTGGTCAAAATTGGTAAACTTTGACTTCAAATTAAATGAGAATGATATTAGATACTGATACAAAAATAATTTTATTAAATTTACTATATAAAATATTTTCAAAATATTATTTTACTTAATTATAATACAATATATATTTTATTACTTATATGTCAAATATTGAAACCAAATACTCCGGGGTAGTTAAAAAAGTCAAAACTAAACAAATACTTCGGGACGGGTAAAACACTAGGGGGGCTCGATAGAGAGTGAGGTGAAACCACTTTCGGACCCAATGCAATATTCACGCGTCGATATTATCCCAAGATATTAATTTCAAATGTCAATGAAAATGGAGTGCAATTATACAAGCAGTTCTATAAGGCCATGTGTTATAAGGGCTTGACGGGGCTTGACAGAGTGTAAGAGATGTATGATGTGGAGTGATAAAAAATATGTGCAATTGTGAGTGTGAAGGAATGTGAATGTATGTTTAATTTTGATTGGTTTAAATTAAAAGAAAAAAAAGAAAAAAAGGAACAACGACACTGGCCATTCCTGCGTGAGGGGCCCGACCAAAATATAGGACGGCGTCGAGGGAAAGGGGCATGTATGGGCCGGGGAGTAAAGGAGGAGGTAAAGCCCTCCTTGCGCCACCATAACACATGTTCTAATTGTTGAAATCCTTGACGTATACATGTCAACTTGTACATTAGATAGATAAGCGTGGAATTTTTAAAACGAATTGTGTTCCTATTTTAATTTGATGATAAAAGCATAAGATGATAAGAGTCTTATTTTGATTCTTTTATTATGTTTTATTGCTACTTTAGCTTTCTCTCCTAAAATAAATGTGCATTCATAATTTTTAGTATTATTTACTCAATTTAGTTTTTGTTAATACTTTTTTAACCTAATGACATACAATGAACCAATGCCAATAGAGTTAAGATTCGAACTTGAGTGAGCTTCCCCAAAAATCTTGTGGGATGGGTTTCCTATCACTTCCACCAAGGAAGAAGTGCATTATTATTATTATTATTATTATTATTATTGTTATTATTATTATTATTATTGTTATTATTGTTATTGTTATTGTTAATAATAATAATAATATTATTATTATTATTATTATCACCATCATCATCATCATAATCATTATTATTATTGTTCCTCCGTTCTAACTGATTTACACTTTTATTTTTATAATCTTTTGATAATTTTTGTTTGTTTGCATGTTTTTATTGATTATTTGATAAAATAAAACATTTTTGGTATTTTTATTTTGTAGAACTTTTGATATAGTTTTTAAATGTATAATTCTTACTTTTTATTTTTACACTAATTTGTAAATTGAATAATTCTAAATATTATGAGATTTTACACATCGTTTGAATAGTGTAAGTTATATTGGGATGGAGGGAGTATTATCACTTTTATTTTAGTATTTTAGTAAGATTTATGCTAAATGAACCCCGAATTCGACCTCACTTTTAACCCATTTTCTTGCAGACATCCACACACATTTGACATTACTAGACTCGTACCCGTGCGTTGCACGGACAAATTATTTATTAAATAATCATCGAAAATTTTGACAAAGGAAAATGATATAAATACTTACAAATAATATAATATAAAATAATCCTAAAGAAAGAGAAATATAAATTAATAAACAATATCGCAGAGAAGTGGTATAAGTTTTAATTTTTTTTATAAACTACATTTATAGTTTGGTTCGACAGTGCAAGTCTTCATTGGAAATCAATATCTTTAATTTAATCTTTTGCGATTTACAATTTTTAATTTAATCCTTTGTGATTTAAGTGAGCATGACCGAATATTGATTTCTGACTAACAGTCCAACATGAAACAAAGATTACTCTTGATTTTTGCTAATCGTTATTGCATATGAAGTCATAATTAAGAAGAATTTACTTTGAAATCATATATGTTCAAAATCAGAAATGGTACCACATTGTCAATGGTACGCAATGTCACTGGAACCGTGCTTTTAAGAATGAAAGCTTAATACAAATAAAGTAAAATTAACGTATGGTTTATAATAAATTAAATAAAAATGCATGCATTTTTTGAGTAGTGTGTGTATGTGCACGGATGTAAATGGTTCTTGAGTTTTATACTTTTATTAGTTATCAATATGTGAAAAATTGTACCTAC